GAGGCTGGGAGCGTTTTGTCGTCTGGGACTCGCCATCGTCGCTCGGTGAGCTCTGTCGGCGTGACCAGCCGCGGACCGCGACCGGTTTCAGGCCGAGCTGTACTGTGCAGAACCTTTCCGGGAGATGTGGCCGCCGGTGGGCGGTGGGAAGGCCCAACTGACGCGTGTACGTACACCTGCCCTCCGTGGTTCTGTGGCCTTGGGACATCGGCCCACCTCCCACACGCAGCGCGATTTCTGACAAAGGGGAGGGGCAGGGGCGGGCGCGGCGCACTTCAGCGCGATGTCGCTTCTCGGCCCGCGGCCTGGTGGCGCCGCGAGTCCGCGCACTGGGCGCCGCCGGTCGACGTAAACAAACCCAGACGGACGCCACCGCCGCCGGGGCGTGCTCCGCTCGTTTTTGCGCCGCGCCGCTGGGGACCCGTGCTGCTCGGTCTGCCGGGCAGCGGCCACAGAAGGCACCGGGAACACGGCGGACACGCTAATGTAACGGACGCCGGACCCGGACACGGTCACGGATCTCGGCGGTCAGAGAACGCAGAAGACAGGGCTCAGCAGACGCAGGGGCACAGCGAGCTCGGGAACACAGCAAGTACAGCAGACGCATCAGCCACAGCAGACACAGCAGACACAGCAGACACAACAAGCAAGACGGTCACAACGAGCAGAGCGGACGGAACAGCACGTGATCCATTGCTCGGACAAACAGCACCTCCACAGCGCTCGACGGCAGCCTCCGCCCCGTGCGCACCCCTCACACCGCGCGCCGGGGCCGATGGTGACACTGGAGCCGATGGCAGTTGGGGCGTGCCGGTGTCGCCCGCCCCGTCATCCGGCGAAAGTCGGCGGCGGAGCGGCGTCTGTCCGGCCGGGCGCCGGTCCGGCGCGCCGGGACCGTTAGCCGCATCGGCGCGGGGCAGGGGCGTCGGCCGCGGCCGAGCTGCGTCTTCAGCCGCCTTCATCCGGCCAGTTTCTGAGTGGGCCTAGACGGGCGCCCTGCTCTCATCGGGGTTGACTCCTGTCGATCGACAGGTCGGGTCAGGTCAGGTCAGTGAAGTTGGGACAGGACAGGGAAAGGCAAGGCAGCGAAGGACGGGGCGGTACAAGACGGGACAGGACAGGACAGGACAGGACAGGACAGGACAGGACAGGACAGGACATGACATGACAGGACAGGACAGGACAGGACAGGACAGTCTTGTCAAGTGCATCATGCGTTCAGGGACGGTTCCTGCTGGCGGGCATGGCCCTGCTGACCGGCCGTTTCGTCCCGCTCAGTCTCCTGGGGAGGGGGGGGGGGGGGGGGGGTGTTCACACCCGGTCCAGTTTCACAACGCCCGCCGCCGCCGGGTTCTTGCCCCAGCGAGTGTGCGCACAATGCTCAGATGTGACGGCGGGCGAAGCCCGAACACGCAGCTTAAGAACGGCTTGCAGGACGGTTGCTAAGCTGCCCACTGCGATCTCCCCTCCACCTTCTGCTGCCCCCCCCCCCGTACCAACGACGCCTCGTGCATGGGGTCGCGTCTCCCTCTGCGTCTCCCCACTGGCGGTCTCAGCAGTGCGCTTCTCTTCGTCCCTCCGTCTCGCATCACGCAGCGGCGTCGCTGTACAGAAGGCGCCTGCCTCGCTCACACCACCCGCTGAGTGCCGCGGGCGCCAGCGACGCTGGACGCGCCGCCGGTTGTGGCCGCGCCGCTACCGGAGAGACGTCCGCGGCGCGGCGGCTCGCTGTGGCCTGCGGCGGCGCGGCGTGACCCCGAGCCGAACGGTGTCCGGCGCGAGCTGCTCCCAGCCGGGGCAGGGCACCGAGCGGCAGGCCGTGGCAGCGAGCGGAGCAGCACGAAACGGCCTGGATCGATCCGGTCCAGGCTACAGGACTTGGGGAGGGCTTGCGGAGCTGCAGTCAGATGGGTCAGTCCTGGGTTCGCGGCCCTGGGACCATGCGGTTCCGACTTTCTGCCTGTCCGGACCGGCGCGGGGCAGCAGCACACCGGCGCGTTGTTTGGTTGTCTGGCGTGGGGGCGGCTTCGGGGCGCGGCGGCCGACCGCGGACCCGGCGCGGCACAATGGATCGACCGGCGCCGGCCTGCGGCCGCGCCCGAGCTGATTATCAAGCACGTCGGTTGCATGCGGCGTGCACGGCCGGGCGGCCCGCACGCGACAGCCCAGCGGCGCAGGGACCGGGCGTGGGAATCGGGAGTCTGTCGGCGGAGCGACAAGAGCGCTCCCGGGACAGAGACGGCGCGGGAGAGGAGAGCGAGGGGAGGGGGGTCGTCACGCCCTGTCTGCCGCAGACAGTACCGTACGCAACTGAGTTGCCACACCGATTGTCCGTTATCACCATCCGGGCTACCGCAGGCGGTGTGGAAAACCGCGGAAAACCGCCGAATTGTATGCGCAGGAGGAAGATGGGTTGGCTGATTATTAAGGTTTTAGCCAAGATGGTGCACTTGATAATTGGAGCTTTAGCTAAGATGGCATGATTTATTGCTGCGGTTTTAACCGCTGTGGTTGGTCATTGTCACACAATCACAGCCAAAATTAAACTTCATGCATGCACCGATGTGAAGTTCATTCCAAACTTTGTGCATCACTTGATATCAAGCTATATACATATCAGCAAAAAGTTATTGGCATCAGTCAGTGCGTTGTTTTAGTGCCAGACCTTTACAGATATCAGACAGCGACCCAAATAACTGCGGATCTGATCGCCGACGCGAACAGGAGCTGGGATGGCGGCGAAAAGCACTGCGTTGCTATCACCATGTGGACAGCATCAAATGCAGACAAGGTGCTCCCCGAAGCAAATTCGGAAGCGCCAGGACAGCAGCGGTTTTATCTGGGGGCGGCGGTCCAGCGAGGCCCGCCAGGCTGGTGCGCTCCGTGACCGTCGCTTGGCATCGTGTACCTCCTGTTGCCGCCGTACCAATACCGGGCCTTCGTCGCCGGCCAGCGGTTGCACCGATGCGTTTGCGACCACATCGTGCCCAGTTCCGCCCCGTCGGGCGCGAGCTGGGTGAAAGCAGGGCCACGATTAAAACGGCACGGAACGGACCATCTGTCGGACGCGCTCCAGACGGCGCGCGGCCTCTCTCCGACCAACGAGCCGGCATCCGGCGTCGCTGCACTCGCAGCCTTTCGCTGTCCGCCGCCCGGTGAAACGGACACGAGGCTCGCTCGTCGCCACCAGCCGCGTCTCTCCGTCACTGCACCGTAGTTGCGTGCTGTACCGGCACGGCACTGGTACTGCACCGCCGGCACTGCAGCGTCGCTGCGTGTTGTACCGGCACGGCACTGGTACTGCACCGCCGGCACTGCACCGTCGCTTCGTGCTGTATCAGCACGGCACTGGTACTGCACCACCGGCACTGCGCCGTCGCGTTCGCCTCGCCGAAAATGTCCTTCAGGCCTTGTTCGATGGCCGTCGTTGCCCGACGTGTCTGCGCTCACCAGTGTCGCTGCATCGACCGCTGCAGCTGTGTCTGGTGTGGACCTCGCGCTCCGTAGGCGGCACGGCATGACATGACGAACAGGAATGTTCACTGTGTGACAGAGTCATGGATGTTACACGCTGAATCGCATCCAACGCAATTGTTCTCCGACGTGGAGTGCCGATCCCAGGTCTTGAACGGCTTGGAGCGTCTTGGGGGTCGCCTTCGATGGTCCAAGCGACCCGCAGTGACCGCATTTCCGAGCGAGCGACGACCGCCAGCTGAATCAGTACCGAGCGCCGGGCCCGGCAGCAGACGCCGTCCGTGTGGCCGGTGCTCGCTGTGAGGTCCTGCCGAAGTCTGCCGTCCCCACGGCCCGTCTCGTCGACCCAGCACCGGGTCCGGTCCCGGTCCCGGCCCCGGGTTTCGGTGGTGCCGGCCCCGGCTCGAAGATGACGCTCCCGTCTCCCCCAGACGGGGAGCGCGTTCCGACCGGCGCCGCGCGCCATGCGGCTCGCCGGGATGTATCGAGATCTTAATGTGACGTCGTAATACTCGAGATCCTCTGTGGTACACGACGGCGAGTTTCAGGTCGCTCGCATCTGGGATATTGTCTGTCGGCTCGGTTATTGGACATTGCGTGCCAGTAGAGCAGCGTTTTTTTGCATGGCCAGAGAAGTGACGCATTCACTGAAAAAACGTAACAAAGGAGGGAAAAGATCGTTAAGAAAGCCCCGTACCTTTAAAAAAAATCGGCACCCGTGCACAGGGCTTGCTCGGCATTGACGATTGGTTCCGAGTCCTTCGGAACATTGGCACCTGTAGCATGCCACAAGTGTCAGGACGCCGGGCACCTGTCCCGCCCCCGCCCCTCCCTCCCACTCCCAACCCCACCGGTGCCGACGTCCTTGGTCGCAGACCCGGTCCGAGAGTCTGCAGAGGAGCACCGAGGCCACAACCGAATCACGTGGTCTGCTGCGACCTCCACCCGGCCGATGAAAAACCAGGTCATTACCGAGAATGCCCGCTGGGAGTGAGATAAGGCGCCTGCTGGGTTGGGCGGACGGCGCCCGCGTGAAGCAACTCTTCCCGCCGCAGCCGAGCGAGAGTGGGCTGCGGCTGCTGGCGGCGAAAAGTGAGGACGGTACGGGGTACCGGACGCGAGGTGCGAGTCTGCTGCTGTCCGGTCGCGGGCGCCGCGGTGAGTCTATTGCCACCTCTAGCTCGGCAGTGGACTACTGTGGCACGACGGAAACAGCGCGCCACCCCCGCCGGTTGGGCCCCGATGTGTCCCCCCACCCCCCAGTCTCAGCCATCTCGGCAGCCACACTCCTCGAGGAGTTTAACTCTCTTCAGCGAGACTTGGCCGCCGGCAGTAAGACGGCGTCGCCTCCCGGGCGACGGCGCCCAGCCGCCGCGGGCGCCGTGGCGACCTTGCCCGCGCGGGCACCATTTTCGGAGAAGTGCCGCCTTTCGGCCCGGCCGGGTTTTTATGTGAGCAGGGGCAGCTTGAAGGCCGCCCGGCGGCCGGCCGACCGCCCAGCCGCCGGGCGCGCCGTGAAGGTAAACATGTGCACTTTCGAGCGGTCGGTGGCGCGGGGCGGACGCCTGCCCGACCAGCTGTGCGCGCCGTGCGGGGCTACAGTGCACGGCGCTGGTGTGACCCGCGCGCCGACGGGCGGCGCCGCGCGTGCTGTGCTGTCGCGGCGAGACATGGGCGAGTGCCCTGCGTGGAGTGGCGCGGCGGGGGACACCCGCCACGACCCGGACTGCTGCCCCCGACCGGAGCTCAGAGGTACGGTCGCGCGCTGGGAGGGCGGGCGGAGAAGCCGGCCGCGAGGGCCGCCGCCGGACTGGCGCGGACGGGGGACGGGGAGCAGCTGACGCTGGTGTGTGTGTGGGGGGGGGGGGGGGGGGGGGGTATCGTGAGCCCGCTCACCCACTCCCACGACTGTTATAGCGTTACGTGCATACCGGGCGAACTGAGCCGCGTCGCGTGTCCGGGCTCAGGCCGCCGAGTGGATGCTTTGTGTTGGTCTGTTTAGCGTGCTGTGCTGTTCGCCTGGGTGGTGGTAGTTCTTTTGATCGTGGTGGCGGATTTGAGACGGTCCGCTTTGCTTGGCATGTTCCTTTCATGTGTGTTTGTCTTCGAACTCAGCTCAGTTGTGTTCATACACTGTGGCTTACATGCATCGTCGTGGTGGTCGCAGTAGCTGCATTACGCCAATCGTAACACAAACATTTAGGCGTGCTACAGATGATTGGTCCCAGCCAAGCTGGACTGTCGTGACGACGTATACACGTCGCCTTATCTGCGCACCGTGGACCTGCGTCCTCTGCCATTTAAAAGAACCCAATTGCAATCACCATGGTCGACCCAGTATTTATTCTCAGACTTTTGGAAAGCACACGTGACTCCGTGCACGCCCTTGCCTGCCGCACGCACAGCGGCGCCGCGCGCGTGCGGGGCGGCGGCGCGCCGGCGTCCACGCCTCGGCCGCCCATTACCCCACCGGCTAACGGCACCGCTTTCCCCCAGACAAGCCCGACCCGGCCGAGAGCTGCGAACCCGGCGTCCTTGACGGCCCGGCGGCCGACGCGGCGGCGCCCTACGCCGCCGACGACTACGAGCCGCCGCGGCGCTGGCAGGCCGCAGCCCGGAGCCGGCCGCGCGACGAGCGGCGTCGGGTACTGAGGCTCGCCACCGAGAAGCTCGCCGCCATCGAGGAAAAACGAGCGCTGCCTGCGCTGGGAGAAGGACCTGCGTCAAGCCACGCTGCTGCAAAACATGGCAGCGCGACTGGAGACCGAGGCGCGCGCTGAGCGGGCGGCGCGCGTGGCGCGCTCTCGCGGCGCCCGCTCCTACTCGCGCACGCTGGGTCGCTCGCTGGGTGGCGCGCACGACACCTGCGGCCAGCGCCGCCGCCGCCGGCGCGACGAGGGCCGCCTGCTGGAGGCGGACGTGCAGGAGATGTTCAGTGACATTTACCACCCGCCGGCGCCGGCGCTGATCGGGCCGCTCGACGAGGACGACGAGCTGCCCGCCAAGCGTGACGGCGGCGAGTCGCCGACCAAGCGACCGCGGCTCGGCTGGGAGAACGCCGACCCGAACGCCGCGCCGCAGGAGCAGGTGCGGTTCGGCGACGAGCCCCCACTCGGTTGCGCTGCCGCCGCCGGCTTCGCCGACTTCCAGCACGTGTTCCATCACCTGGTGCCGTCCCTCGAGTCGTAGCGGCGGCGCGCGCGCCGCCGCCGGGCCTGACATCGGTCAGCACTGGCCATTGTCCCTTGTTGTTGTTGTTGTATATACTGTGTCTGTGTTCGACGCATGACAAAACCCAACCAAAAAAATCTACTCGTGGAGCTGTGGTAAGGGTATCTTTTACAGTGCTGTAGAACTGAGCTTTAGTCAGTGTGCCCGCCGCGTGCGCGGTAAGGCGCCGCGCGCCTCCCGTGAGCCCCTGCGCCCGTGCCCTGCCGTCCTCCCTCTGTTGTCACCTGCCCCGAGCGCCCGGCCGCCGCCGGCACGCTAAACCGTCCACTCGTCTGACCACCTCTCGCACCGGCTGATCACGTGACCGATCCAAGGCCGGCCCGGCCCGCGCCGCCCCCGCCCCGTCCCGCCGCGCGGATCAGCGCTGGCGCCCGCGGAGAAAGCCGACGCGTCGCCGGCCGCCGGCCGACCGTGTGCCGCCCGGCCTGGCCTTGCCGCGCGACACGACCGCGGGAGGAAGTTGGGCGCGCGACCGAGGGCCGCTCCCGCGACCTTGTCCTTCCCTACCGTTGCGACAAGGGAGCCGGCGCCGGGGTGCGGCGAAGGCGTGAGCCTGCCCGGTCCGCTGGGCAGGCGGCGACCGCCGAGAGGCGCCGACCTGACCTAGTTCTCTGAGGTGTTACCGCCGCCGCCTGCCCGGCGGCCCGCTCTGGTCTGTTCCGTCCCGGCTCGGGGCTGATTCTGGCTGTAGTCTGATCCGTTCCGGCTGTGGTCTGACCTCCCGTGCTCCTGTCTGACCTGATCCGGCTGAGACCTGACCTGTGCCGGCTGCGGTCTGACCTCCCGTGACTGCCTGACCTGACCCGGCTGAGACCTGACCTATGCCGGCTGCGGTCTGACCTCCCCGTTCCTGCCTGACCTGTCCCGGCTGAGACCTGACCTATGCCGGCTGTGGCCTGACCTGTCCCCTCCTCCGTCCACCCGTGCCGCCCCGCTGTCCGCAGACGCCTGCGCTGGTGGCGGCTGCGTCCTATGTGGTACCGACGCCCCGGCGCCGCTGGGGGCTTGTCGTGGTAGACGAGGCTTCGGTGTTCGTGCGATGCGCTTGAAGTAAGCGCGACACGTGAGGACGCGCGCCGGGCTGGCTCCTTTCTCAGGGGAACTTGCGCCAGCCTTCGAAGTGCTCGTGGGCGACATAGCGATCTCCTGGCTTAAAAACCGGATGCTGATGGGCAATTTTATGCTTCTTTCGCTGCTTTGAAGGGCTTAGATACTGTTATCAGTTTGTCGTCGGCTGGACCTGATGCGATGCGTCTGTTGTGCAGCGATGTTCTATATTTTATTAGCATTGGTTGGTGCTCAACAGTGACTTCGGGCACAGGAACACCACAGTTTTTGTCAGGCTCTGTGAAGAGTGAGTGGCATGAGATGCCCATCAAGTGATGCGTTTGCATCTCCGGATATCAAACCGGTTCAGAATCTGTTGGGGACCGCTATGCTGTGGTTTGGTCCCAACATCTGTGTGTGTGATCGCAGACGATGCCCTTTTCCCAGCTGTTCTCGATTGTTTGGCACAGAGTGTCGTACAAATGGTGCACTTGCTGATGCTTGTTTGCCAACTCAGAAGCCGGGCGTTTGCCAATATATATTGAAAGAGAACTCGAACCCCTGTATTTTAATGGTGCAAGACAAGGTGGAATATACACCCACATTAACCGAAATTGCGTTGAATGCATTTCATTTGCGTTTGGATGACTTGCTAGACTGCTAGAAAACACATGCGACGGCTGATCACCACATTAAGGAAAGTTGATGCTCCGCTTAAGCAGCGTTCTGTGTGGTCAACCTCGATGGCTAGCTCACGCAATTTCTGGAAGATGGTCATATGGTCTCGGAAAGTACAGCGACCATGGCCGTTATCCGCAAGCTATTGTTTTAAAGGTGCGCGGAAGAACTGCAGTCATCCAAAACCCTTAAATGACGCAAGGAAGACTTGCACTCATCATAACCCAGAAACCGTCTTATGACACAGGGAAGAGATGCACTCATCATCCAAAACCCTGATATGACACAAGGAAGAGCTGCACTCATCATCCAGATATTTCATGTGACACAAGGAAGCCCTGCGCTCATCACCCAAAAGCCCTTTTACGACTCACAAAGATTAAGAGGAAAGCTGCCGCCTCGGACCCACGCTTCCTGTCAGGCCACCAAAAGCCTGAAGCTGGCTGGAATGTGTGTGCGGCAAAAGGAAAACGCGCAACCGCCCACGGGCACGCCGTAAAAAGTGGATTAATTACGGTGCTGCGCATATTTGGCGGCCGGCTTTCGATTGTGTGCGCATTGATGCACGAGCAAAGCTGCTCGTGAAATTAGCCAATTAGCATTGTTTGGGCAGCGTGCGATGCCGCGAATTATTCAGAATCAATCTCCGATCAAACGCTTTGGTTGTATAAATTCTGCAGTTACTGACAACATGGTATGTGAATTAATCGACGCTGAAGAATCATGCCTTGCCTGGCGCAAATGCCTTCACCGTCTTCGTACCTTCACGCTTGCTTGCGTCCTCCGTCCTCAGCGTCTCTCCGTATGGAAGACTGCGCGGCGAGCAGCCTGTGGCAGTTCAGACACCGCCAGTCTTCTACCTTAAACTCGGTGTTCCTGCAACTGTATCGGGTCACCTGTTGTGATCCTACAGTTGTTGTGAAACACGATGCAAATGCACGGCATGGGTTACCGTCACCACTAAAATGCGCGCAGCTTCGCCATTTCAGGGGTGTCGATTTGCACTCTGTTGTGAGGGCCTAGGCATGACAATGTTGATCCCCCTGCATTGTCGGTTCGGGTACCTCCAGTGTTTGCGTCAGGCTTATACCCACAAAAAGAAATGAGCTTTCTCACAAAGGCTGCATTATTTGGGCGTGATTCGATGACCATGACTAGCCGCTACGTTACTGTCATATCGGACTTTTTGACACACGATGCAAAATATAGGTAACAGAACTAGCTGTCTCGTAAAAGAAAGTGGGCTAAGTCCATTGACAAACACACATTTGAGGAGAGAATAGGCCGTCAGGCCCTAGGCTAGGCCTTCTCCCAATAATTTACATAAATCGACGCCCCTGTGCCATTTCATCCCGAATTATGTAAAGCTATGGCGAGGCTCATACGCAGGAAATGTTAGGTCCATATGGCTCCTTGCCTTTCTCCATAAAACGGCGTAAAGCATGACAGGCGTCGTCACAGGCTGAATGTTGGTTGGCCTTCAAAGCAGGATGCACATGGTCAACGCTGCCATCCGTTCGCGATGTCCCTAAACTCACGTGTGCCGATGCGTATACGAGCAGTTGATGGCTAGAGCAGTGGGTGGTGCGGCATGAAGGGGCTTGCAATCCGTTCGATCGGGCTGAGGATAATAGAAACACTGATGTGCCTTGGGCCCGCAGGCAAGGCGCCGGGGAGCAAGGTCGGTAGGGAGCAGCATCGTTGGGCTAAAGGGTCGGCTTCTCACATCAGCCTTACATGCACTGAGCCGACTGGAATGCCAAGGCTCTGCTGGTGCGCTGGTTACGCCTGAGGTGCGTGAACTGAAAAGAAGGGATCCGCCCATGCAAGCTTTGTTTAGGTTTGGTTAAAAAGAAACAGCCTCATAAAAACTTGGATTAAAAACGCGTCCCCGCCGACTCTCCATTTCTCTTTTTTAGTTCGATTTCCAAGCCCATGATCATTTCTCAAGCCCACTAAAATTGTTGACAGCTGGGTGAAATTAAGACCATTTGCTGGTTTTTCTACCTTCCGGGCATCAGCGCAGGTGAAAACCCCAAGGTCAGAACGGAGCATGCCTTCAACGCCAACCACTCACAACAAATCAGCCCCATCCAACACACGCATGCTCAACTACGCCGGGAGCCTGGCTTTCGCTCGCCTGGAGCCGTCCTGAGCGCGGAGACGCGGCGCGCCACAGCCTCGGCTTCTGTAGGCGATAGTCTGTCTGACCCGGGCAGGGTGCACCGCCGAGGGTGCAGCGCAGCCAGCAGCCAGCCTCCCCCCCCTCATCACGGCGGCGTCAGCAGAACGCGCTGCCCGCCGGCGTGAAAGGGAGACGCCGCCCGCCTGGAGTGGGGCCACTGACGTGCTCCGACATGACGCGTGGTGTCCGACGAGCGGCTGCTCGTCCGAGGCTGTGCTGCTGTTACAACACCACGGGATGTCAGCGCGTCGCAATGGATCGATTTTGATGACACGCAGGCACGCTTCGCATACAGGTGCGCTTCGCGCCTGGTGTGAAAGAGACGGCAGGGATTGTTGCTAGAACAAATTGTGTTAGCATTACAAACACATTTTATTTTCGCTTCGGGTAAAAATTAGTTGGCATTAGCGTGCATAACGTATATCAAATTATGTTGTCCTTGTTCCAGATACTCTGAAACATTACGACCCACTCATATGCTCTCATATTCTTGAAGCAACAACATTTTCCATTTTCGAATTCCAAGTTTTGCGTGAAGATCCATGAGGATCATATGACTTCCACTTGCTCTTACAATGGAGAGTTTACGATTCATCGTGCGTCCATTCGCTGAAAAAGTTTTGGTAAAATAGCGATTGAAGGAATTCCCGAGCTGGGTGTGCATCGGGGACTTTTTGCCTATGGGAGGGGAGGGGGGGGGGGGGGAGGAGTACGGCGGAGGTCGGTTGTAAAATAACGGCGGAGCGTAGAACAAAATTCAAGGCTGCAAGCTCACTGTGCAGGTGGTGGAACGAACTGACGGCATACTGAGTAAACGTTATGAATTATGGCATTCCATCTATCGGCGCATGCATGGAAAACTCTATCCCATGAGCCGAGTGGCACGGATGAGCATCATGACCATGTGACCTGTGATATTGACCCCTCATAGGGTGAGGACTCATTTGTCAACGTTGGTGTCTCTGCGCAGTAATCGTGGCAACAGCGACATACGAAACCGTGTAAATCGAAACGAATGCATGCGGAATGTCCCAGTATTTAGCATAACGCATTGGGCTCAAGGTGCCTAACTTCCCTGCCTCCTTCCCTTCGCTACTCTACCCTTGGCTACCTCCCTGTGTTAACATTTGTAAGCTGTGTTCGCGTGTCACTGATGCACCGTATGTTTTCATAAGTTGTTTTTGTAAGTTGTCAGTGCTTTGCGTCAGTTGAGAGTCCCCTACCCGTAAGGACACTATATTCACCGTTGCCCGAGTTCTGCAACATGGTTTTCAACGACTTGGCCTTTGCAAAACTTGTTTCCCTTCGTACACGAAAAGTGGGACTTTCGGTAAGTGCCAAAAATGCCGGTTGAAAACCCACCGCGTCCACAAGCACCCGCAACATTACACCGCTTGGCGAGCCGTGCGGGCCACCTGTGCTGTGTGTCTGAGTGAAGAAATGCGAATAGCCAGACGGACAGACAGACTGGCGTTTTGAAACGCGCTGTCAACGAAACTCCTCGATTAGTGGAAATAGCTAGTGAAATAATGGTGATTAAAAGCTGACAGAACCAGGCAGAGAGAGAGAGAGAGAGAGAGAGAGAGAAGAGAAGAGAGAGAGAGAGAGAGAGAGAGAGAGAAGAGAGAAGAGAGAGAGAGAGAGAGAGAGAGAGAGAGAGGAGAGAGAAGAGAGAGAGAGAGAAGAGAGAGAGAGAGAGAGAGAGAGAGAGAGAGAGATAGAGAGAGAGCGAGGATAGAGAGAGGAGAGAGAGAG